AGGACTGGCGGAGGACCAAGCCTCCTGTAACATCGCCTCCCAAGGTGGTCCAAGGACACCCACGGCAGCTGTGAAGCCAGGGAGAACTTAGGAGGGCTTAAAACCCATCCCAGGAAAACCTTGTCCCAGTAACTCAGTGGCTGTGGTGCCATCTAAGCCACGTGGAGGACTGGCGGATGATTAAGCCTCCTGAAATATTACCTCATAAGGCAGGATGTTACAGAACTCTTTAATTAATTCACCCAGCTATACGAACGTAGGGTGGGAATTTAGCTAGATTGTTTGTCATCCCTAACATGTATAAGGGCTGGGAATGATCTGGGAGCAGGAACTGAGGTTGTGCGGGGGAAGGGAAGGTATGGCGGCAACAGGGTGAAGCAATGTTACAATAGAAGGCGGGATTGATGTCTAATACCTAGCAGAGTCCAACAGAGTTGTTTAGGGTGGTGGGGGAGTTGACTAAGGTTTCCCCTGCGCCAACCCCCCTACTTAACCCAATGACAGCCTGCTGTGACGCATTCAACATCCACTTTGCAGATAAAATCTCTCAGATAAGAGCCGACTTGGACCCCAGTGTTTTGACAGAATCCATAAACGAGATGTCCAGCAACTCTGTTGATGGCATTTTACTGGATTAGTTTCAATCTGTGAGTACCGATGATGTGGACAAGCTCCTTGGAAGAGTAAGGAAGATGACTTGCCATCTCGATCCTTTTCCATCTTGGCTGGTCGTCCGGGGTGACGCATTGAGGGTATTCCTACGGTATATAATCAATGCTTCCTTCAGGGAAGGTATTGTACCATCATATTTAAAGGAGGCAGCGGTTAAACCACTCCTGAAAAAAACCTTCCTTGGACCCCCTGGACAGGAATAACTACCGACCAATCTCCTTACTGCCTTTCTTAAGCAAGGTGATTGAGAGGGCAGTTGCTTCCCAACTTCAAGCTGTCTTGGATAAAACCGATTATCTTGATCCATTTCAAAGCGGCTTCAGGACAGGATATGGAGTTGAGACTGCCATGGTTGCTCTGACTGATGACCTCTGCCTGGGCATCGACAGGGGTAGTGTGACCCTGTTGGTGCTCTTGGATTTCTCAGGGGCTTTTGATACAATAGATCACTCCATCCTCTTGGATCGCCTGAGAGAGTTAGGAATTGGAGGCACTGCATTGCGGTGGTTCCATTCCTTTCTCTTGGGCAGATCCCAGAGGGTGAAGCTCGGGGACAGTTACTCTTCCAAAATTGAGCTTAATTGTGGTGTCCCCCAGGGCACCATCCTGTCCCTGATGCTATTTAACATCTATATGAAGCTGCTGGGTGAGATCATTCGGAGGCATGGAGCGTGGTGCCATCAGTATGCTGATGACACTCAGATATATTTCTCCATGA